TAAGTTCAAGATGTAACTATAACGTCATTTACCTAGAATTATGATTGATTTTTTAGAATTACTACTAGTTATTAATAATTCTTATAAAAGTGTATACTCTGTTTGAAACTATGCAAACTCGGTGAAATTGGTTGATACCATTGTTTTCATTTTTGAGTTATCATGTAAGAGAAAAGAACAGCAACAACAAGAAATTCAAACTTTTTGCTATGATATTTACAGACATTCCCAGAACTTGACTTGTTCATTACATAGATATTGTTATAAAAGGAAACACTGTATAGTATTGTAATGTTCTGATGGCCTATTGAGATCTTGAAAATACCATTTCGATGAACAAAGCGAGCCATTCATACATAGGCAGTGCTGTGGCGTGCCTGATAACAACTGCCATTGGAAACATTGGAGGTTATTAAAATCTATGAGTTGAATTTCCCCTCTTTAATTTTGCAGTAATATGCTCAATATATTTTGACTATCATGCCCACTGTTCAGTTATATTTCACTTGTTATTCATAACTGAAAGAAACTGGCACATAGTGTAAAGAACATGAAAAACATTTGACTGCATTATGATTTGAACGTTTTTGATAGCATTAACTGAATCATATCACATTATTTTTGTCTGCAGATAACTGATCACATTTTGAAGAAAATAAGACTAATCAGTCACACAGTTGTTAAGAATACTAATGCTTAAGATAACTTCGTAAATTGTTTCAATTTCATCTAATTTTTTCTGTTGTTTTGTGATTGTCATAAATGAAATCAGATACAACAGTTACTCTGCACACTTTTACCATGCAGCATTGAACTCTGCTGTATGCTCATTTTTTTTGAGGTGCTCATAAAGAATCTTTTCAAAATATAAAGGGGAGAGACAAAGTTAATAAAGGACCAGTTTAAGGGTAGTCCTTATTTTGCAGGTTAAAAATTCTGATGCTCTCACCTCCTAGTTTTGTTCCAATGTACAAAAAAAAAATATTAAATGTCAAACTTTATCCATTTTGGACCATATTTAGAGGTTGCCTAATGAGGTTGGACTTCTAGTCTGCAGTGGCTTAGTTCCATATGTACTGTTATAAAAACATATTTTTAGGTATTATAAATGATTTATTTGAAGTATATTATTATTTTATTGCACGTACAATAGCATAATTACTTAATCATATCACTTTTATATGATTTTGGTGATGTTAGTCACTTACATTGTTATTATTTCCTTTTTGCTGTTAGGAAAGTGTCTTCTATAATCCTGTACACCATAAAGGATGAACTGTTTCTATTCTTCATTTGCTATGATGGCATTTTACTCATCAGTAAGGACCACACCCTTTTCAACATTGTCATTTGCCACATTAAAATGTTGAGCTTTTCGTAGTACCTTCTTGTAGCCTTCTTTAAGCTCCTATGACTCAGGACCATAATCCAAAAATCTAGATGGAATTTTGAGGCACCTAAGAAGTCTGTTATGTTCTTTGTGATAAAATCTTCAATTTACATGTCCTCAGACTTCCTAATATTCAGCTGGATGTGCTTTGGAGGTTCAGCTATGCCTTTCTTTTTTGATTAGTGCCTTTACCATTGCTCATTTTATCTCTGTGGATTCAGTTGAATCAAAGTAGGCCAAACCAATTAGCTCCTCATTGAGATACCATAGATGTTTGTGGTATTTACCAAGTTATGCATGTCACATCATGTGGATGGTCAATTTGTTTTCTCAAGGGTGTCTGTTTACTTATTAGTAGGCTGTGCATATACAGTAAAGATATATTAGAAAACAAAGAAAAAAATGTTTTCATCACATTAAACATTATTTATTTGGTTTGCTTATACTGATTAGAAAGTTCAGCAAAATGAAATCATGCTGTATTCCTTATTCAAATAAGGTACATCACATTTTTCTTTTTGTAAGAACAGTGAGTTTTTAAAATTCCTTTATAATCCAGAAGATCTATGTTATAATTATTTTTGTTTTTTTGTAGACTCAGAATGTTCAGAATCCTATGGAGTTCCAAGAACAACAACAACTACTTATTGAACAGTTGAAAGATATGTTACGTGAAAATGAAGCACAGTTAAAAAACAAGGAGAAAGAAGTAGAAGTAAGCATCAAAAAAACTTTATTTCTACCAACCCAATATTATGATGCACCAACTAGGACATTTTGAAACCATAGACTTGTTGGTTAAAAATGTTTTAGAAAATCACTTTAGTAGTTTCTGTTACACCTTTGAAAACATTTTGATAGAAGCAGACTGTCCAGAAAAATATGAATAAAAAGTTTTGTATTTTGAACCATATTCCATATAATTCTGTACTATAGTCATAGAATTTGTATCAGTATTTGACCTAACTTATTACTTCATTATTTTCTTTGGAACATTTTTATTTTGTTTCATGGAATTTGGAACATCTGTATGTATTGTCTACATTAAGTAAAAATGTAAAATACTTTTTCTAGTATTGGATTTTAGTATAACTTGGCTCACTACTATTGTAATAAAACTTTTATAATGAAAAACAAAGAGAATATTCTAAGCTATGGTGGCATGTTTATAAGAAGTGACAGATGAGAAAACAATATTACAAGTAAAAGTCAAGTAACTACTATGTTGGTCAGAATAAAATTAGTTATTTTCATTTCAGTAGTCCCTCAGTGGTGCAGCAGTAAGCCCAAAGGCTATTATGCTAAAAACAGGATTTCAATACCCGTGGTGGGCACAACACAAATAATTTTTTGTGTAGCTTTGTGTTTACCTGCAAACAAACAAACAGCATTCGTATCATGAATTATAATAGTAGTCAATCCTTAATGATATAGAAACTGCTGTTTCTCTCTAATTTTTTTACAATTAAACGTTAAGAATGATTTTTTTATTGATTTTCTGAAAATTATTCTATTTCTAGGATACAATGGCCAAATTTCAGAAATTTAAGCTTCAGTCTAAAGCCAAAATAGCACAGCTTACTAATCAGCTCAAAAGTCAAGAAGTGAACACTGGACAAGAAAAGGTAAAGTAAGAGAGAAAACCTTTCATTCATTGCAAGTACTTATGTAGAAAAGGAAAAATATATAAAATGCTTTAATGTTGTACTGTAGATTGAGTGAGTGGTTGAGTATGATTAGTTTCCATAGCTTCTGTTTGGTTTACTATAAAAGTGTATCAGATCAACGGTGAGGCCTTGTTTTAAATAATATTATTGTTGTTGCCTGTGTAATTAAATGTTTTTCTCTTTGCTTAATATTATAATATGTAGATTTTTATAAATCCTTAAATTATGTAATTTCCAGTTACATTTATAGTTCTTTAGTTATGTTCAGCATATAAATTATTTTTTTTCCCCTGTAAGTGACGAAGAATGTAGAATGAACTACATAACAAGTTAATTTTTATACTCTAAATTAATTTGGAAACAAGCAAATTTGAAAATAAGTGAATAAAACAAAATTAAAAACCATGTTAATTTATAATTTCAATCTTAACTTAATAGTTTAATATTTAGCAGTTGTTCAGATATACATTATTATAACTTTGGAAATAACTGTTTGTATAGATGATTCAGTATGTAGGATATTCCTAGAAATTGCTTATGCTCATAAACAAGACTCAAATTTAGCCTCCGTAACTAGATAGGCCCCAAACTGACTTTAATTTATTGTAATTGAATAATTAAAAAAAATTAAGGATACAAAGATGAACTGTTTTTGTCCAATATCAGTGCAGTCCTGTTTCTAGAAAAAAAAACTTTTCTCTTAGAATAAGATGGAAAAAAAAATATATTTATGAATGTAAGAATCATAAAGATTGTCAATATTCAGTTGTTTGTTTGAACTACCAATGCATAGTTATGATAGATATTTCAAGAAAATTATTTTGAAACATATTAATGAAAAATTTGTTCCTTTTATAGTTAGCAGGTGAGGCAGAAGAAGTTCCATTCTCAACTCATGAGCATCCTGCAGACCATGGAATCAAAGGGAAAGTTATAATGCTAAAGAGGCAGCTAGAGGAGAGCCGACAAAAGTTTGAAAGACGAGAAAAAGAACTAATAGAAAGTCGCAGCATTTTAGAAAAAATGATTCAGGATTTACAAGGTCAGCTTCAGGAAAGGGAAGGTCTTATTCAAGAGCTAAAAGAGAAAAAGGATGAGGAAAATCAAGAAACTAAGACATCAGCTACTCAAAATGTAAGTGTTTAGAACAGAAGTTCCCAAACTTTTTCACTTATGACATCCTAAACCACTTACTTTGATTTGTGCAACACTCCTGCTACCATTTGCAATCTTTTTTTTTTGTTAATTTTTTTTAAGTTTTTAGTTATTCTTTGTTTGGTGAAGCTCTTGCAACACTCTTTGCAACTTGCCATGACACACAATTTGGAAACCACTGGTTTAGAAATAATTATTGAATGTTCTGTTTAAACTAATTAAATGTTTTCATGTTTGATGTGGATAAAAGAAATTATAAATAATTTATTTAGTAAAATTATTTGTTTTGTAAAATGTTGCCTATAATTATATGTAAAGATGTTAAATGAGTAAGCAGTAACATTTTTGGCCATGGTTGCCCATTGTGTGCATAGTTTTTTTATTGTACTTGAACTATTGCGTAAAAGTTGATGGTAAATATTGCTTCTGCAGGAAAGAAATGTGCAAGAAATATATGCCCAGCTGGTGTACAAAGATTCAAAGATCTTGGATCTTAATAACACTGTTCTTGAAAGAGAATGCCAGATCATGGACCTTCAGGAGCTTATTAAAGAAAAAGATGAGGTCCTACAAACTCGAAACCGTGCAATACAGGTTTGTTGGCCATTCTGTTTTTTATAAGGTAATATCTAAAAATGCTTGAAAATAACCTTTGTTATTAATGTATGTAGGATATTCCTAGAAATTGCTTATGCTCATAATTACTAGAGCTCATTCAACTCAATTAAACAACTTTGAAGCATTATGTGATTTTATTACCTAACAGAAGTACATTTTAATGTCTAATGACATGTGATATTACAAGTCCAAGTCATACTGTGAAGTTGAAATGAGAAGTAAGGGTTTTAGTCAAACAATACTACAATTGCAGTTTGTGTTTTGATAAGTGAATCTAGAATTTTTCTTTCTGTTTTAATAGAAGTTACTGATGAATAGAGTTACTTAAAACTTTGTTTATTACAATACATTTAAACTTTATGTATTTTTTTCAATATATGATAGAAAAATCATATTCTACAACCTTTAACTCTTTCCACTTTTGTAGCATTATACTGGCCACATCTACATTTCCAATTATAAAAATTATTAATTCATAAACATCACTTTATCAGACATAAAGTATGATAACCATTAAATGTCTTTGAACCTTAATTATTTTGGGATATTTGTAATGAAATAAAAACTAGTGACATAGCTACATTTTGCCATTATGCAATACATTCTGACCATTGACCTCAAAACTAAGTCTTACATACAGCTAATGTTAGCAATAACACAATCACAGACCTAATTACAACATGTGTTAGCCCACTTTATTGAAACAAATTTACAATGAAATGTATGTTGTATATCATTAAGCCTAATATAAGTAGAGAGTATTTATTTTACTATATCAGCAATTCTTTAAGAAGTCATGAAAATCTGATTCAGAAAGACCCCTCATTAATCTCCGAGCTCATGCGTGCACAGACTCCACAGTAAGGCTCCATTGTTTCTAGTTACTAGTGAGAGATTTTATAAAGCAAAAAGCTACTGCCAAAGTAATAACTTCAACAAAATAAACCAACAATCAATATAATTAAGTTATTACTTTTATATAGCAAACAAAAAGAAACATTATATAATTAGATTATTTGGAGAAAGAAAGATTCTGACATTACAACTAAAAGTTTCAAAATTTACAATTCATATAAGGAAGGAAAGGAGCTCTGCAGCAAATAGATCATGAGAAAGAAGCTAATCCCAGTTTTCAGGTGATATATTTATGATAGTTTAGCTTTAGAACTTTATAGAAATGTTTAAAAAACAAGTGTAGTTAGTTGACTTGAAATTTTTACAACAGCAACAGCTTTAAAAAAATCAGTTGTCAAATTTTTTTTAGCTAAAAATATGCAACAAACATGTACAGATTGCAGGTTTGCTGTTATGTTTTGTATGTTGGCATGTTTTATCTGTGCAAACAAAAAGACTTAAGTATTTCTACTCCACAAATTAAGTTTTGGGGTAAAAAATTTGATTTAGGGTTATCAGTTTGATTTTGAGTACGTTATCTAAAACATATTAATCAAATTTATATCAAACTAAAATTATTAATGGGAACATTTTAGTTATAATTTTATTTTATGAATGAATTAAGTGGGGGAAATTGGAACTTTTTATAAACTTAATGGTGTCATGCCCTTGGAAAAAGTGACTCACTGGTTTGATACTCTTCCTTTTATTGTTATTGTCTTGTTTGAATTATGGAATTGTGAATTTAAAATCTGTGAAATAGCTTTTAGTAAAGTATGTAAGATAATATAATATATATATTATTGTTCATAGCTAATGACTGAAGATATGAGTAAAAGAGGGAAGTCAGTTGTAGATGAACTGGATGAAACACGTGGCCAAATGAAAATTATGCAGAAAAACTTTGTAACCATGGAAACAAGTTGGAAGGATGAGAAAGATAAACTTGAGAAAGGCATCCAACACCTTCAAGAAAAACATGAGGCAGAAACAGATGAAAAAGTTAAAAAAATTGCTGAACTTGAATCAAGTTTGAAAAAGCTTGAAACTGTACGATTTGAACTAGCTACAAAAAATGCAGAGTTACAAGAAAAACTTGTTTACGTACAGGAAAGCATGGAAGAGCTTAAAGAAACCCAGTTAAAACACTATGAAGGTGAGTAAGAAATTAAGTAACATAAAGAATAATTTAAGTACTTTGGTTACAAAAAGTAAATTTTAACTTAAATTATTTAAATACTCTGATATGTAAACTTCAAGTGATTGTGTGTCTTTGGTAACTTTTGCCTGGTCATTACCTTTGGAAATCCTTACAGATTTGGTAAAAGGAATCTGTAGTGTAGATTCTGTATAGTATAAAAATAATTTGTTTATATTATATATATATATACTATTGTGTATAAATTACTTGCCAGCAGATCTTCATTTATGTTTAAATATAATAATTAACATTAATTATTTGTATTTCATTATTTCATTTCACACACTTTAAAATACCCTGGTAGCAGATCTCATGAATAGTTTGAATATGATAATAAACTTAATTTAATATAACTTGTATACATTATACATACTGTAGTCAAATAAATGATTGCATGAAGATACATAAGAGTTATCCGTCACTAATTTTGAATTGTTAGGCTAGAGGGAAGGCAGCTAGTAAACAGTACCCACTTGAGCTGCTCTCTAAATGAAAAATGAGATTTTACTGTTATTTTTATAATGCACTCACAGCCCCAAAGTGCAAAATGGAATTTTGCAGTAATGGAACCCAAATCATAGACCCATGGATTAGCAGTCCAACAGTACCCACAGCCCCAAAGTACAGAATGCAATTTTTCAGTTATGGAACACAAATCATGCACTCACAGCCAACTCCTTGGCTATTCTAATTAAACAGTGGGATTTGACCATCAAACTTATAATGCAACCAGAGCCTTAAAGTGTGGAAGTTGCAGTTATGGGCCATGAACTATGAACCTCAGAACAACTGTCCAGTATGCTAGCCACTAGAACATCTGGCTCAATGAATTTAAAAAATGGCAAGTATTGGAAACAAAACTAGAGTTATTGATAAGTTGCCACGAATATGTTAACAAAACACATTGTTTAATTTGACATGGTATATAGATGTCAAATATGTCAGAGTATGTATATACCTATGTACATGGTCCGTATTTGTTAGTTAGTTACATTTATATTTATTTAATTTCTTTTATTATTTATTTTATTTATTTATATAAGGGAACGTTTGATTATACTTATATGTAATGATATTCTGTATATTGAATGTGAGAAACACAAGATTTATAATACTTTGATTTAGGTATAATGTTTTTTATATTTCGAAATTGGTTTTATGTAGAAAACGTAATATAACTGTATAACTTACCTCAGAATATACTACAAACCTTTAGTGCTTGCTTTTTATTGAAAGATTGCTAACATAGTGCAAGTACTTGAAAAAATAAAACAACTAAAAATATCTATTTTTATGAATGGCTAAAAATTATGATTTAATGTAATTCTTTTCCACTCATTTTGTAGAGGAATGGAACCAGCTCCAGAAAGAACTTGAAAAAAAAAATTCCCAGGTTACAGAGTTACAATTACATCTAGAGCAAGCCAACAGTCAGACTGACACCAAGGTTCTGAAAGCTAGAGCTAAAGAAAGAAGCAAGATAAAAGCTTTAGAGAGACAAATTGAACAATTGAAAAAGGTTTTATTTATTTGAATATTTTTTGTGTATTTTCTTCACATAATTATTAGACTAAATATTTTCTCTGAAACCTGCTCATTGTTAAACGTTTAACGGCTAAACTTTTCAAAAACGTCTTTTATTATTCTGGGACTTAAGTTATTGATATAATTTAATGAATTGTTTAAGCTCTGGGCTCAAACACCTGAAGTTTTACTCATGTATGCCAAATTTTGGTACTTCTCTTATACGTACTATAATGCTTATATATTTTTAAAAGTATTGAGTTTTAGTCTAAAAATGAATTATTGGAAGTAAGTTTCTAACAAAAACTATTGTTTAGCCTTATGATTTAAATGTCCATAGCTAACAAAACAGTGGAAGCCAATAGTTCTAGCACTTAATTCTAGGCCTATGACTAGAAATCTTAAATGGACAGGTTAAAAAGAATGCATAAATTACAAATATCTGCAAACAGATGTAATTTTTATTATGGATGTTAAGCCTATTGTTTAGCCATTCTTTTCTCTCTCTACCTACTTGGTTGTCAACTTCATTAAGTATGGTTTAAGCAAACTTACTAGTAGGCTCATTAGTTAAAAGGATGTAAATTAATAATTGCAATGTTTCACAATTTATCGTAATAAAATCAGTATAAAATACTTGATCAAAAAATGGAATAAATGAACAGTTGCAGTAGAAGTGACTAAGCAAAGCTGGTTTAAGGGAGGCTTCAGCTTGGTAAAAATTATGAGTTTCATGAATCCTTAATTGCATTTTTCCTCCGTTCTCTATTCAGCATATTAAAGGTACAAAAATCAATGTAATATTAATTTATGGTGAGCTATGTCAGATATGTCACCATTTGTTGCTGGGCAATAACTAATCATTGTTGGATTCAGTTTATTTCTCTACTTAGCTGTAGCTGTGAATATATTCTATCCAAGATAACTTTTTTGGCTCGTTTATGTTAGACCTAAAACGTTTCTTTTTTTGCTGTTATTTTGTTTTTTCAAGGAGTTCCAACCTGATTCAGGCTCATGAGGATTATATTATCAATGAAAAACAGCACCAAATTAATTGAATTTTAAGTTTTTCAATTGCATCATTTTTAGTATAACAATACATTCTTCCATAGGTTAGTAGTGTCTTTCAATTAAATATTGGTGTGTAGTGAGTGATCCTGCATCAAAAGTAGTTGTACATAGATAAAATAATTAAACATAAATTTCTGAATGATTAATTTAAAAAGTATAACAAAAAGCTCATTGCTTGTATGTTCTTGGGAGAAAAATCAAGAAAAATTGATGACCAATGGTTATGCATGCCATTTAATAGCATTAGTTTTACAGGAAATTTTTATTTGTGAATTTTTAAGCAGGCTGAACATAAGCCAGATGAATTAGTAGTAATTTAACACACTTTGAAAAAGTTTTATAAAATGTTTCAATGATAGTGCTTTTCTCTCTCATAATCCCCTGGTAGCTCAGTGATAAGTATGTGGGCTTATACTGCTAAAAATTGGGTTTTGATACCCATGGTGGAAAGAGAACAGATAGCTTTGTGCATGACAACAAACAAACAAATTTTCTCTCGTGATAGTTGGATGTTTATTTAATTTAACAAGGTTACTGCTTTCACCACTACGATATACTTTTGTAACATAAGCAGTTTTATTGAAGTTACTCACTCTCTCATTCCTCTTGTTTTGTTAAACTAAATTTGTATTTAATTGAATAAGTAGAATTGTTTAAACGTTTGTTTTAACAACAAGTAAAAGCTTGGAATGGTTTATTCTTTCTTTCTTCAAATACCTATAGAATGATAGGTTTCTTTTTTGTGTGTGTAAAACACTTAAACACACCAGTTAAATTTGTTATTTATACCTTTACCAAGTTAACAAAAGCCAATTTTTTTTTAGATTAAGTTTGTTTTAACAACTTGTATTGTTTTTAGGGCTGGGTATGGCCTAGTGGTTAGGATAATGCAAACAAAATTGAGGCTAAGGGTGTGTTATAACATGGATGGTCAAATCCCAGTATTCAATTAAAGTAGTCCAAGAGTTAGCAGTGAATGCTGTTGACTGGCTGCTTTTCTCTAAGTATATCAGTTCAAAATTAAGGATGTTTAATGCAGATAACTCCTGTGTAACTTTGTGGAAATATCCAAAATATATATGTGTTTTTAATATGCTTTATAAATTGTGAGAAGTTACTCTTTTTTTATGCAAAAAGAAAAAATTAAAGTAAAAAAATAATTTAAATTTTATGTTAAATTTATTAATAAAGCAATCTGTGAGCATTTCAATAAAATTGTCATCCTTTAACTACTACAGTTTACTGGCCCTGAAAAGTATAATTTGTATTTGAAACACTATACACTGAGTGGTCACAAGTAAATAGACACCTAATTTTTCATCATTTAACTGATTTA